GTCCGAGAAATGTTCGGTAACGATTGAGAATGGCGTGACAGGACAAACCGTCCACATTCCTGTTCGAATTCGAATAGTTGGTCAAGCAGCTAAACAGGTCTACAATGGTGAGTGCTTCCTTACGTCCACTTCTTTAGTCCGCTTCGCCTTATATCGGTTAGCCGAGAAGGCAGTTGTGCTACTGGAATTGAAGTGGGGACGAGGCGGCGCGACTTCTGCGCTCTCCCCTCAAGATAGCGATGACATAGGCCTCTCGCCTCCATCCAGCTCCACTCTCACCGCGAAAGTACCTACAAAATCGGAGCACTAATTACTTTTCTGTAATACCAACTGTTTTTCAGCATTGGACAGCGCAGGTTTCCTCGATTTTCTTTTGATATTCCTCCAACACTACTCGTGGATAATCCCCTCATTAATGTGGATTTGTGCTCTGGGAGTGATTACCATCGCTGGTGAGTGTTTTTGTCTCCATAAGCGTCAGAAAGTATTTAATAATCTTTTTCGGAGGTCATAGTTATTGTTTTCAGTGTATTGGTTCATTCGGAGACGAGTATGGGAGAAAGAAGGTACCTTCAACGATAACAGCACTTTACGTTCACCATCGTCGTCAATGTTGAGCCGCCCTTCAATATCTGTACAAAGCTCACCAAGTGGGTTGTTTTCTAAATTTGTCGTTGTCCATGCAGTAATGACAAAGTTAATCGCGAATGTAAAGTGGGCAGGGAACACGCGCCTGGGTGAGGGCTACCCTATGTCACAGACATTTGCCGCCATTTCCATGCACGTGACGACTGCAATAGAGCAACAGCGGAACATGTTGCGGCGACCGTTATTATGCTGAGGAACAATGTCTACCTGTTAGGGGGTTGAAATAGGCAGTCTTGTGGCTTGGTTGATAAGGGACATGCGCCAGCTGGCATCTGGTTTTGGCAGCGGAGCCAAGCCCTTTCTCCACCAGTAGGGCTAGCAGGTGTAGCGATAAAAACTGGTGGAAATGAGTTTTGACGCGCAGCGCAAAGCCCACCGAGGCTTGAACCCCGCTTCACCCACAGGACCACACTAGTAGTGGTATAGATGGCATTAAGAGACTGATTTTGCCGAGGACTGAAATGGGATGGCGAATTTCCTCCAGACGAATAGTGCCCGAAATTTTAAAACAGGATCCTAAACAGACAGGGCATGCAATACGTAGGGGACCCACAGCGAGGTCGTATTTTCGCTAGAGGGAGAGGAGGGATTTTTGCTAAAGGGGTAATTATCTCAGAGCAAAATAATTTTGGTTGTTTGCGCTGCTCTCCCCTTCCCCTCTCCCGGCTCGACAGCAGGACAGCAATTTTTCTTGCCGAAAAAAAGTGGTGGGAAGATGAGAAAAAGAGGGAATAGTAATGATGTCAGAGGTACGAGAAGGGATGGTAGCAGAAGAAGAAATCTCGAGAAGGGGATAGGGTTGTATTTTGCTAATTTTCCCTTAACGGGAGGACTCTCTGATTCTAGGGTCGCTAGTTTTCGCTCCTTGAAAAGTAACTTCAGAATGCACCGTTGCATTGTTTGCGCTGCAGTTTAGCATCCTATCACTCTTATACTTTCTAATTAGAAACATGAAGCACGATAATTTCATAGTCGGTCCAGGATGGCAGCAGGGGTGCTATATAGTGGGAAAAGCGATTTGAAAAGATCAAATGCCTGCGAAAAAGCATTTGTTTTACACGGACGGTAATTGTGGACGAGTTTCCCGTTGGCATTGTGCCCATAACTGCTACGGTAGATACGGCTGCATGTATGTACTCATATATCCATGCAGCACCGCAGCCGCTTCATATCAATCCCTTCTTCATATTGTACTTCGCAAATGAAGCGGTACGAGCATCAGGTACGGTCGTCCATTTGTGGGCGGGCGGGCGCGGTGGGGTCCGGGTCGGTATGTTGCCGCATATGTCATAGGGGGATCTGTAGAGTACCTCCCTTGAAGAAGGCACGACGCAGCGCCTGCTGAGGGGAGTCGAAGTTCGTCCTGCTAAGCTTAGTATCCTACCCGTCTACAGGTCTTGGGGATTTATCGTGCTTTTTGCGTTAGTATAGTACGTCCACGTTTATTTCAGGCTTTTTCCGGCAATCGCCGCTCGGGAAATCGACACCGATCTTTGGAGACTCGATGGGGAGTGGTATGAAGGCTCGTCCATTAGGTGCAAAAGGAGAAGCAAACCTGTGGAGTACGGAGGCGACAAGGAGGAAATGAGGCACTGTTATGATTGAAAACGGGTCCTCAGCCTTTCATCGGCCAACGAT